CGCTCTTTCATATGATATAAAAAAATATATACCATTCCATTTAAAAAACTGAAGGTTACCTTCATATCTTAAGAAATAGTATAAACACGAAAAAAATACATACTTCATTATGTTGATTATAAAAAACACTATCACTTTTTCCTCTTTCATTTTTTTCTAGTACCAGTCATTTACGAGAAAAACGCTGGCTAGTAAATCGCTGAACACTGATTCACGTTTAAGCAAATTTGTTCGTTGCAATGAAGCTGTTTTAAAAATGTTAAAAACTTAGTAAGATAATGGTTGCAAATAGTATATCTACATTATTCGTAAATGTAAATTAAATTACTCTTTGGTAATATGAGCGAAATAAAAATTTCATGCACAATGTGTTTCGAAACATAAACTAGATTAAAAATATTAACTATACTTTTCTAATTACAAATGATAAAATTAATTAAAAACGCGGATAACATTAAATAAAATAATAGCTTCCAACAATTAATTTCCGAAATTTGATTTTTTAACCTTACTTTTTAATTTCTTGTATCAAATAAACTATTTTAGAACATAATGAACTCAGATTAAAGTGTAACGAGTCACTTTTTAACATTCAACTTCATAATCTTACATATTCACAATTACATATGAATTAATATAAATTACATGTAATTCAGATATTTGGTAAAATTCTCACAATCCGCATGTTGACTTTAAAACATATATTTGCGGGACATTTTATATTATTTTAACTATTTATTGTTCATATAAGGCTGAGATTGAAATAATATTTGATGACGCTGAGTGTAAGTATAGTAATGACGAATTCGTGGAACCTGGATCATGTGAAATTACGGTGGACGATGACAGCGAATATGGGAGTACTGTAAGTACTCATTTGGAGGTCATCAAACAACCACCGGAAGACATCAGAGTACGTACTTGCATTAGTATTTAATTATATTTTCAATGTATCGCAAAAGCATTTATGTGCAGGTCCTGGCCAAATAGAAATAGACGTTACGTAATTCCTTGCGAAAAAAATAGGAAAAAATATAGGACAGAATTATTTCATTTTAGCCTTACAAGCAGAATACAAGGATTTAGGATCGTTGATTTAGCTAAATAATAACATTATAATAGGATAAATAAATAAATAAAAGTTATAATTGATAAAAAAATTCTCATCCACAAGAAATCAAACTTGGACCAATGGCATACAATTTGTATACGTACCGCATCACAATAACATTTCATATGCTTAGAAATTAAAACTGTATTGATGATAATGAAAAACATTTTATTACACTGTATTTGAAAAATTATTGAATATTTGACGCTATATATTTCCATAAATAGGACATTCATATTTGCTAATACTCAAAGTTCAAACTTAATTGACGATCCCAAAGCCATGTACTCTTTTTGTTACTTGAAAATTCAGTGCCTTTCTATTTTATAACAGGGCCTCCACATATCTCAATCTGAGCCTTTATACTACTACATGTTCTGAATGTTTTATATTGTATTTCTACACGTAGCAATGTAGCATTAAAGACTTTATTTTGTATACTTTTGTGCGTTATAGTGACATCAAATTTTAGCAGTCTAATGCTCGTTGCATTACGTGGGAAATTAGTATATGGTTACATTCAATATTAATAGTCATTAATCTTGTACACAGGCAATAGCCAAAGTATATGGAGTTAACATGGGCGAATATACGAACGATATTGGACTTGATGTAGATACAAATTTTTGTGAAGTGACAAAGGAACATCATAGCATTGCTAGACCGTTTATAAGCGCATTTGGCTTGAATGATTTGGCTTGCCCTATACCACCGGTATGTAATTGACTTAATATGCTAAATTCTTAATACAAATACACGGTGAACCAGCAAAAATAATTAATTTACAAAATTTTTTCTTTGTTCATGAAACTATATATATATTTTATTAAAACGATTAATCGGAATATTTTATACAGGATGCTCAAAAAATTTAGGTCCGAACTTATACTGCGTATCAGATGAAACAAGTTCACTCAAAATATTTAAAGATGCTTTATTGATTTTCGATTTAGGTTTCCATTCGTGCAAATAGTAATTATCGAACTTTTCAATTATTCAAACTATATTGGAAGAAATAGTAAATTTATTTTGAACGGATTCCAAAAATGATTGTTCACGTAAACGTTAAACATCGCTGAGAATTATAGTACATATATAATTCTGTGTAACGAATTATAATAATAGTTTTATTCGTAAATCTATGAATTCTTACATGAAAAATATTGAGAATAAACCATTTTTAGATGGTTTATATAGATCTTTTCATCTATTTGACTTATATGTAACACGTAATATAAGTTTGATTTCAATATTTTTGAACAGTATGTATTTGCAAATAATAAAGTAAAATGTAAAGAGAAAATACTCATGCATGGCCTTCAAGGTTATGATTGTATGAGTTGATACAGGTCATCACATTACTAGTAAAATATAGAAATAGTATATATTTTGAACATTTTCAACGCTAATGTAAAGTGAAATTATGTTATTTTTATTTAAATTGGAAATTTTTGAGTTATTCCCTTAATTTGTGAACATGGTAGTGAAAATAAATGGTTTTGCTTCTCGTGCAATCATGTTTAATATCACTAGAAATTTTAACGCACCTTCTACTTTACTAACCTACCGAAATATGTAAAATTTAATGGTAAAAATGAACAAAACTTCTATTGTAATTACTTAAATGTTCATATTTAAGACTTGTCAGTAAAATATTTTATTTATTTTGTTTTAGGGAGTCTACGGAATGGAACATTATGTTATTGACAACAATGATGGTTTACCGGAATCATTTCCTATAGGAAGATATCTAATATCTATTTCGCTCTTAAATGACGAGTACACAATAATAACCGTAGATATTTATCTAACAATAACGTAAATTATTTTGTAGTATTGCACTAAATTAAAATTTAATATAACATACACATACAAGTTAACAAGAAATCCTTTAAATAAAAACTGATTTGCAAGTATATGTTGCTGTTTATTTTAATATTTCATGTTCATTCTTATTAAAGTTTCTGTTATATTACATTTAAATGTGGCAAACGTTCGCGGACTAAAACATAATTTCCGGATTGTAAGACGAGGTAGAAAATGATTGAAACGCTAACTAAGTTCGATTTTAAAAATACTATATACGAGGTACGATCATTAAGTTCCCGGACTGGTCCCGTATATGCAGATACAGTTACCTTTTTCAAATTTGGCTGTTATCCCCTTTAAAGTAATCCCCTTGGGCAACTATACGCCGATCCCAGCGCTTCTGCCATTTTTGAAAAGCTTCCTGAAAGTCTTCTTCTTGAAGCGTGTCGAGCACCTCCTGCAATTCGTGTTGAATCTCGTCCACCGTGTCAAACCGCCGATCCTTTAGCTCCCACCGTGTCAAACCGCTGATCCTTTAGCTTCAATTTCATTTTGGGGAACAAAAAGAAGTCACAGGGTGCCAAATCTGGCGAGTATGGAGGGTGAGGAAGGGCTTATGTTACATTTCGTACACAAAACTTTTGTGTTACGAGTGCTCTGTATGCTGGCGCGTTGTCGTCTTGGAGCACCCAATTCTTCTTTGTCCACAGTTGTGGTCGTTTCCGACGAATGTCCTCCCTGAGACGTCTCAAAACGTCACAATAAAAAGCACCAGTCACTGTTTGACCCGTGGGAACAAATTCGCGGTGCACAATCCTATGAATATCGAAAAAAACAATGATCATGCTCTTTGTTGAGCTTTTGACCTGTCTCGCCTTCTTCGGTCGTGGAAATTGAGAGCTTTTCCACTGCGAAGATTGCTGCTTAGTCTCAGGATCGTACCCATAAATCCAACTTTCATCACCGATAATGATCCTTGTTAAGAGTTCCGGGTTATCCAGACATTGCTGCTGCAGATCTTGACAAATTTGTAGCCGGTGGTCTTTTTGTTCTCGCGACAGATGTCTGGGAACGAATTTCGCAGCAATGCGGTGCATGTTCAAAATTAAGGTCAAGATCATTTGTATCTCCCCAAATGACATCATCATGATATCGGAAATTTGTTTGATGGTGATGCGTCGATCTTCATGCACAATTGCCCGAATTTTTTCCACGTTTTCGGAAATGTTGCACGTGAGTTTTGTGGATCCGGAGATACGCTAGTCCCATACGGGCCCTTTCACAAGATCGCAATGTTTAGAGGATATGACGGAGGCAATTAAAGAAATGTAATTTAACTAATTAAAATACTCAAAGATTATATTTTGTATAATAAAATATGGAATGGTTAGAATGGTAGCGTATATGATATAATGTGAATTACAATGAATTAAAGAAAAATATTGTAAATATCCGAGACGCGCAATTCGAAGATTTGAACGAGAAACAATTACTCAAATACGAAATAAAATTATAATCCAGTGAAATCCCAAAGTTAAATAATTAACTACTGATTCACTTGCCGAAAAATTCATAAATAGCTGGAAGAATAAAGGAAACAACTCACCAAAATGTCTGTACTTGTATGAATTTAGAATTAATCAACCTCTTGTAAAATGTGAAATGCCAACTACGCCTGGTTCCGGGGAAGAACACACACACATGAAAACGCTCCACCAATGAGAATTTTGAACTGACCAATTGTGAAATTCAAATAAACTATAAAATAAAATTATACCTTAAAAACTAAAAAGAATAAAATTGAATATAATTGAATCGAAAAATAAAATAATATATTGAATTGAAATTTAATGTGATTATTAACGTGAAAGCTTTACGTGAAGATAGAGTCTTTGTCTGAATTTTGCACTTTCACAAATTCAAGAACAAACTCGTCTCTAAACCACCTCACGGACTCCCGACATGCACCTCGCAATTATACACCGAAGAGTGTCGCAACTTGGACCTCTCGGAGAAGACTAGAGTGGGCCTAGTCCGAAATTGTTTACGTTGCATTGAGATGCACCTAACGAATTAGGCTGCGAGGCCAATGCGTAAGAGACCATGATTCGTTAATTCGAGGTGGTGGATGCATGTGCGTTCCTCCCTTGTCCAGTTCTTATCTTTCTCTCTTTCTATATAGTTCTTTCCTCTACTCTTGAGTTATGGACTGTTAATTAACTATTGAATAATTTTTATATACATAACCGGCGGTGTATAAAATGTTAATCTGCATATATTATAAAAATTTGGAATCAAACATTATCTATTTCGTCTTTACAAGTATCAAAATTAATTGCGCTCGGTACCGTAACTATTGTAGGACTGGTTGACGTATAAGCACTTACAATAACGGTATAATGAAATACTATGGACAATTTACATAATATTGTACTGTTATGAGGACAATTTCTATTGTAATTTTATGTTGCATCGCGGGTCCTTGAGGAACATTCCAGAACACTTGGCGTTATCGGACCACACGAGTGCGCTTTCTCATTTATGTTTGATGGTTCGGAGAAGCAAAACGATCTAAGATTTTGGCCGTGGGACCACGTTGATTTTAAGGAAGGAATGTGTTATATTAACAATCTTAGTTTAGTCGCCAAAAGATAGTCTATCTAATAACATAAAAGACCGTTAGTGCGTTCGATCAGGGTGTTCCCAGAATGCAATACGCATTATTGATACACATCCGGTCGGTGAGAACTACAAAGGAAATTTTGAAAAAGATTCCTGTTCGGAACGTAACAATGCACAATTGCCCGAATTTTTTCCACGTTTTCGGAAGTCTTGCACGTGAGTGGCCGTCCGGATCTGTCGTCGTCTTCCAAAAATGTCCTGCCATTTTTGAATCGCGAATGCCACTCAAAACAGCTCGTCCGACCCATTGCTTCATTCCCGTAAGCCTATTTTAACATTGCGTACGTTTCGGTCGCCGATTTCCCGAGTCTCACACAGAATTTAATGTTAGCTCTTTGTTCCAATTTGGAGTTCATCGTAATTTCGCAGCGGAGCGCGCGCGTATGCTACTATAAAATTGTATAACACACGATTTAATGAGCATATCGCTTCCAAACTTCGTGTTATTTGTCTTGAAGATTGTTATTCATATGTTCTGCGAGCGCATGTCAGTTGTGTGAACCGTTTGGTCACAGCAGACACAGTCCGGGAACTTAATGATCGCACCTCGTATTTTGTGTCAAGCCGATTCCGTGGGCGAAATAGTGTCCTCGAGAAAAGAATGTCTTTCAAAGGTCTGTAGAAGAATGCCCTCTTCCCGTTTCGCGAGGTTTCCTACTCCCCACGAAACTTGAGGTCGCAGGATTGGTTTATGGCCCGGACGTCATGTCACAGCGTCAGGCCTCGACCCCGTGGTGGTCGTTGTAGGACGGCCATGTGTCCGTCGCATAGTGGAGTATTTGCACCGAAAAGGCAGACACGAGTATTTTAAAATTGACGCGCTCTTTAAACTTCTATAACTTTGTCAAAATTCGTCCAAAATTAGTAAATCAAAGACTATTTTAAAGTTTGAACTCACTATTCTTTAGATTTTTAACTATTTTTATCACAGTTAGTACGAAAAAGGAAGAGACGGGATATAAGTAAGAGTACTTTCATTTGCATAAATTCCTCGACATTTGTCACATACTACGGATTGCAAATATTTTTCTCGCAATTTGTAAACATATTATTAGTATTACAGAGTATTATCATTTATATTTAAATAAGTTAATCGCTCTAGAAAAAAAACGAGTGTGTTAGCAATTCTGCGGGTGTAAACGTGTCGATAGAAAAATCACGAATGTCCCGAGCGGCGCGATGTCCATTGTTTTTATGCCCTTTTTAAGAAGAGGTAGAAATAGGAGAAGGAAAGGAAAAGCACAGAGTGGAAATTTGAAGGGGTGAAAGAGAAAATCAATGGAAAAACCTAGGCCCACACAAGTCTAGCTGCCGAATGTACAATCTGACATTGAGCAGATTTGCACTAGATCCTGGGAAAATTGAAGATTGCAGAATAGGCAGGAAGTGCTTAGAGATACTCAGGCAACAGAGAAAATTAAAAAAGTTTAGAAGAAAAGATAAATTAGCAAGAAGGTAGTGGCGGACACACCACAATACAAAAAATTAAAATATATATAACTAACTGTGAAGGCACTGTTTCAACTGAATGCATTTAGAAAATAGAGAACAGAGTTGGAGTCTTATTTGTACCATAGTATAAACATCTCTTGCCCCCTTAATCGTCGACAGTCTAGACAATTCTTTCGAAGAATTTATGAGCGTCCTGTGCATGGTCAATGAACGCGGGGGTGCAAGCCTACGAGTATAATCCGGCGACAATTAAGTTTCAAATTGCTATAAAATCTGCAGTCGGACGAGGTCGGAACCAAATGTTTTTGCATTGCAATCAGGACATGTTACAGAATAAAATGACACAAAATAGAGCATCGGGACGAGGTCGGAACCAAATGTTTTTGCATTGCAATCAGGACATGTTACAGAATAAAATGACACCAAATAGAGCGTCGGAGCACACCCGGAAGTATAACAAAATCATTAATGAAGTTTTAAAATCGTAAAAAAAGATGATTAAATTATCGATCATATTCAAACATTAATTATTAGACAAATATGTATGATAACAAAGTAAAACCTGTTGGAAAGTGAAGGTTATATTTGTCTGAAAAGTTTGCATATAATAACAATGTATCCAATTTTTTCAAATTAATGAAAAATTTTGAATATATAAGAGCCGCGTTTTGGACAATTGTTAGGGAAGGAAAGCGCGTCATGAAATCCTTCAGTTTCATTGAAGAACATCGCTTTATGATTGCATAAATCAAAAAAAGGATGTTGATACATTGTTTCTCACATATTTAACTAACTCAAGCACCAGAAATTCTACACTTATTGCAAAATTTTTTAAATTGTGTTATGTCCGCCTTTTCGGTGCAAATACTTCACTGTGCGTCGTCCCTGCTTTATGGGGGTGGATCACTGAGAATTTCCTAACAGGATAATTGTTTTCTTTTTATTTTTCATGGAACTCGTTTCACCCAAACGTTTTGTCATTAAACCAAACTGGCTTTCACTTGGTTTCACTCTATGTAGAAGTCCTTTGTTACGTTCCGAACAGGAATCTTTTCCGAACAGGAATATTTTTCAAAATTTCCTTTGTAGTTCTCGCCGCCCGGTTGTGTATCGATAATGCGTATTGCATTCTGGGAACACCCTGATCGAACGCAGTAACGGTCTTTTATGTTATTAGATAGACTATCTTTTAGCAACTAAATTAAGATTGTTAATATAACACATTCCTTCCTTGAAATCAACGTGGTCCCACGGCCAAAATCTTAGATCATTCTACTTCTCCGAACCGCCGAATATAAACGGAAGTCACACTCGTGTGGTCCGATAACGCC